AGCCTGAATGAGAAGCAAAGCAGGCAGGAAAATAAGTCTCAATTCTCTACATAAAGAGCAAAAGTTTCAAAGATTTGAAAGATGTGCTCCAAAACCACGACTTTGTCACCTTGCTGCCCTGTCAGGAGGAGTTACAGCACTGTAGCAAGTCTGAACTGAGTAGGAACCAGAACTAGGAGGTGTCTGAGTGAAAAGGCAAATGCCAGGACAAATCCAAATAATTATACTCCTCCTGCATCCCCTGTTGCTGCACCAAAGGAACTGGGGTGATGGAGCACAGCCCACAGCAAAGACAAGGCAAGAAGAAGCCAGGAAGGGGTTAGGAGAGAGATGTTTGGTTCATGCTGAGACTGGGGAAAGAGGAGAAAAACCACTTACTTTAACAATTGTTTAATTCTACATGTTTTGTTTTTTCTCAATACCCAGAATCAGTGATCAGAAGGTTGTGTTAATTGTCAAGAACTTCAATCAAGTAAAAATTACCCAAGTTGAGGCTGTATTGCCTGTGACAGCATATAGATAGTCAGAATTGAGGCAGGAACTCAGGCATTGAACCACAAGGGGAAAAGCACCCTAAGGAATCAATTGATGTTATCAAGTAATCTGCCTTGGAGATTAAAGAACACAGAGCAATAAAGTGTTGTAATAAAAAAAGCTTATGAGTCAGAAATGGGAGGCATAGGGAGAAACACACATTAATGTCAGCACATAATTGCTCTATGTGGACAAAATCAGATGCCTTTAAAAAGATTACTGCTAAATTCTGTGCTAGAGGATTCTTCTCCCATCAAGTGTGATTTTAACTGTAATCAAAAGGAGACAAATACAAAAAGCAAGTTCCAGAAACTGCAAGAGGGACAAAGGGTAAAGATCTTGTCCTGCTCCAGTTCTCTTTGTACGTGGACATGGTGGCCACAGTCACCTCCTGAGATGTGCAAGTTGCAGGTGCATCCACTGCTGATTCAGCCTCTAACTCCAAAATCCACTGTAGGCTTCCCAAAAAAGGAAAGCTGCTTCTGTCTCAGAAAACTCTCCACCCTAGCAAAATGAAGCATTATCTTCTAAGGGCCACTTAAGGGGTATCAATTAATCAAAAGTGTGAAGGAAATGAGGAAAGAAGGAGCAAAGACAGATACCTGGCTCTGCCACCTTAACACCAGCTTGTCTTTGCAGTCAATACACCAACCAAAACTGAGGAAATCAAAGAGAAAATTGAGAGGGAACCTCACTGCAAGATTGATTTGCAAGGACTACATCTTCCAGCTCTGTTCTGAGCACACAAATTGTTACCAGATTAGAGATGTGAAAACTGTAATTTTGGAACTTTACCTCATGTGTCAATATCAGTGGAAATTCTAACCATCTGAGCTCTGATCTCCATGCCCCCATCCCTGTGGGGATTGCTTGGGGCTTTAACATTATCAGTAATAGCCCAAATAATGTCAAGTGCAAATATTGAAAATGCTCCAGCGATGACATCCCAGAAATCCTGTCAATAATTCTGTGTTCAGTGTAAGGGTGGGTAATACAGAGACAAAACTTTGTCTCTGCTATTTGACACCAAAAACAACTGCAGAGGAACAGCAAACAATTGCCACCCATTGGACTAATGTTTGTCTCGTGGTAATGGTGCTGTGTGATGTCATGTGATGTGTAATTAAGCAAATGAAGCTTGCTTTTAGAGAGCAGCACTAAGCAGTTGCCCTGACCCCACCATGGCTAACAGTGGTACCATCTGTTCACTGTCAATGTGTCTCCTGCATCCCCAGTATTGTTGTCTCCTAAAATAAACAACTTGTATCACAAGATAATCTTGATCCTGCCATTTCTCAACTTTCACATTCACTTACAGTTTTACATTCTTTTAATCTACTTTTCCTCAGAATAAGACACGCACCTATAGCCCCTGGGGATGGTCAGAAGCATGGTAAGGTTATTTGTTCATGCTGAGAGCAACACAGCCCAGCCTGGATGGAAGCAGGTTAAGTGTTAACACCTTACTCTATCTCCAGAGCTCAAACTAAAGCAGTGCATTTTTCCAAATATTATTTGCTTGCCCTCAGCATTACTGTAACTGCTCTTGATTTTGGATTGTTGCTGTGAAGTGGGGCTTGTTTTGTTTGTTTGTTTTAATGTGCTGTGATAATAAATAAATACATCATAGCACACAAGCCGGGATCTTCCGCACCTTCTCTTGCATATGCAACACTGGGTTGTGATTAATCTTATTTACATTTTCTAAGCAGTTACTGGAAACACAAAAGGTGGTGATGACAGGGTGGTCCAGAGATGCATGAATGCCACACAAGAATATATGCATGTGGAGATGTCAGTTAACTTGCACATAAAAAAGTAGAAGTGAATTTAGTTTAAAAATCAGTTATGCTGTGGTCTATCTTGCACAGTAACTCTGGTCAACCATTCATAGCATGTGGAATTCAAAGGACATGTTATTTGTGTATAAGATCAGAAAAATTTCTGATATTAAACAAAATATTGAAGAGCATTACCCCCAGCAGGCTGAGTCCCAGGCAGCTCCATCACCACCTTTCACTGAAAGACCATGAGCTTGCTTCAGAAAGCACAGGGCAGAGCAGAAAATCCCCATGAAGTGCAGTGCTAATTACTAATATAGTTATGTTCTGCTCATTCACAAGTATGGAAAAGTCCACCTTTCAGTTGAGCAAAAGAAAAGCTGAGGCAGAGTGCAGCTAAAGCAGGAAGATTCATATACAACTTTTGTCACTGATTTATCTAAGAACTGAGTGTGGCTCTGATAAAGCAGGAGATGGCTTTGGGCTGCTATTTAAATAACAGTGCTGGTCAGGCATTTAGGCGTGGAACAGCAATTGGATCACTGGAGCCAGCAAGGCCCATCCCCAAAAATGTCATCAGGAGAACTCAGGTAACTCACAAACTCCTCCTTTGGGAAGCACCTCCCACCTGGTGCATGTAATACCCACAAGGGTAACACCACCTAAAAACAAAAGCTAAGATGAACTTGTCTACACTACATTTGCAAAGAATATTACTTGAAAACAATACAAAGGAAAGCAAAACAAATTCTTCCATTAGCTGGGGACTTCCTATCTCCAACCTCAATCTCATTTGCTGATACTGGCAAACTTTTCATAAATGTTTTCTATCACTATTAATTTAAATAATTATTGGGCAGAAGAAAAAAACCTGCTCAACCATGTCTCTCTAATCTAGTAATTAAATCCACCTGTAAGAGCTGAACAATTTGTGTCTGTGACTATTAATGCAGTCAAGTATTTTACATTGGGCGTTGTAACATCAGCCAGAGAGACTGAGAAACACAGCTGGAAACTGAGCCATGTTTTGATAAGGAAAATCAACCCAAGCTGCTCAGCAGGCAGAGGTCCTGACTGAGGCAGATGTCCCATTCTCACCAGGCTGTTAAACACAGGATATATTTTATCTATTCTATCCCTCTTGCAGCAGTGTCTCAGCCAGGTATTTGCCTATCTTCAGCCAGCTGGAATTCCATCCTTTTGCATTCTGCCTCTTTGTGATCGACCACCCCAATTTGATATCTCTGTTGTGTGGTTACTCCTGCAGAGAAAATATTGGATTTTGTCCAAATGATGGAAAAACATGCCCATTTAGATTACCTGAAGCTGATAACCTTTCTAATGGAAAGTTCCCATCTGGCAGAAATATTGCAAGTGCATTTTTCAGGGATGTGGTTCCACTGCAAATGACCCAACGTTATACACCATAAACAAAGATGTGAAACTCCTTCAAATCCTCCTGAACAAAAAAATGAGCTCTTATTCCAAATGGCACACATAAATACAATAGTGGTTAAACTTGGGAAACTGCCCAAAAATTGACAGTGTCAATGCATTTTTTCTCCCTTGGAAAATGAAAATACCTTATTTAATGATACAGCAGAGAGATCCATGAAATCATTACACAAATAATGTGAAATCTGATGTCAAAGTTTCCTGCCAAGTGACTCAATATAATGATAATATGCATTCCACAGTATGTGGGTCATTATGACAAAACACCATCATCTTATTTTTCTTTAATGATTCCTTATTATCTCTCATGTTCTATCAAAATTCTATGTTTTATGAACATATAATGCAAATGTATACTTATTTTTCAATATGCCTATATATATTATGTTATATATTATTGTACTATATCATGATATAATATAAATTATATCAATTTTATTGACTATATCATTATATCATGATATAATGATCATTATATTGTCATAATATACATTATATCCATGTATATATATAAATATATACATATCTCATGTATTATAACATGATATCATGTATTATAACATGTTGCTCTAGCTTTGAGTAAAGCTATTTCCTAAGCTAGGATCTAATTCTGTGCTGCAACATGAATTCTTGTCTGTGCTTTGGAACTGAAGGCTGTTTTAAAACAAAAATGTTTTAGAATGGCCCCTCTTCAAATGAAAATGCAATGTGCATTCCCAGTATTGCTGACATGGTAATATGTGGTTGATGATGAAAAATAACTGGTTAATTCAATTCCTTGTGCCTAGTAAGCAGCTCTGTCAGCACGATGAAGTTCTGAGGCAATTATAAGAGGACTTTGTAAGATTGGTTATGAAATGCAGCTCCAGAATTAACAAATAAAAGAACAAACAATAATGGAGAATAAACACCGCTGGAACACAGGTCATCTCACTAAGCTTTTTATCCCCATTGATCAGTCCTGTATTTTATGTAACGCTGTTGCAATTAATTGTACTCTTTGTTATTGTGCATTTTTCATTTTTTATAAATGGAGCAGCAGTCCAATTTGGCAGTTTAGCCCATAGAAAACAAATGTATTGATCATTGGCACAATCAGGCATTTCTTCTTCAAAATTAACACATCTGTGCTGCTTCACACACATTATCTGGCTCCAGAACTAGAGAGAGATTAGAAAGATTGCAAAACAAACCTTGTCTTGGGGGGAAAATATTGTTTTAGAACCCTACCAGAGCGATGAAAGGCGACCTGGTTGGCAGGATGGGGACCTGCGTCGATGGATAGCATAGGGAGCAACTTCCGCATGTCCCAGAGCTTCATCACCCCCGAGGAGTCACAGGAAGCAATGACATCCCCCTGCCAAAGATGGAAACAAAATCAAGGCATTGCTTCTGTGCTTCTGCCAACATCAAAGCCTCTGCCACAGGGCTGGGCAGCCACACACAGCAACTGTAATTAAACAAATAAATAAAGAAGCTATTATATGTGAGGTTATCGCAGCGTCTTATCAGCTCTTACTTATTGGCTTGAGTAGCAAAAAACAACATGAGTTCTAAAGAGACCAGTTCAGAAGAAACTGGAAATACAAAGGAGAAAAAAGATCATTTTGAATTCTGACACCAGTGTCCCCTAAGAACAGGCCTTGTGGTTCTCTTCTTCTCACACAACCACAGGATTGGCCTTTTAGCCCTGATTTTAAATTTGTCTGCTCCTGTTTTCCATGTGAAGAGTAAGATGAGAGCAGAACAGACACTCCTTCCCTGCTGTGTATTCCACAGCCACCCTAAGGGGAAAATCCCCATTCACTTAAGGGTTGCATTGGATGATCCTTCTGGGTCCCTTCCAGCTCCAACATTCTGTGATTCTGTGAGAACCTCCCTCCTTTCAGTGGGCCAGAAGCATGCAGGGATTATGCAAGGAAAGATAGCAGGAACATGTCTCCCATGCCTCTGTTCAATATTAACTAAAACCAAAACCAAACCAAACCAAACAACCCCCCCAAACAAAAAAATAAACCAAATAAAAAACCCCAAACAAACAAAAAACACCCCAAAACAACCCAAACCCCACAAAAAACCAAAAAACAAACCCCTACCCTAAAAAGAGTCTTTTGATATGTAGCAAATAAATGTAAAAATCAAAGAAGGCAGAGCAAAGGATGTCCAAACATAACTTTGTTTAGCTAATTTCTCCCACTAGAACAGAAAGAACTGCCCAGCTACTCATATGGAAACATTTAATTTTTTAAAATAAAGATTCAAATCCCTAAGGAATCTCAGCTGGTGTGCACTCACAGTCATCAATGTCTTTTCCAACTTAGGCAAGTGCAAGATTATATTAAAGAATACTGTTTGGAAGGGGAATCATAATGGCATGGGACTGAAAATCACGTGAAACACAAGTCAGATACTGCATCCATGATTTATAAAAAAAAATAAATTATTTTTTACATCTTCCAAATAAATAGTACCTGAAATAAATGTGTGGTGTTTTCTAGCAAGTAGAGGATTTAAGATCTTAAAATATCCATCAACTTCTCAACTAGAAACTAATGGCTTGCAAAACACTACCCTGATGTAAGTACAATTAAATCTTTAGGTCCATCTGGAGGAGATCTAAATATCAAAACTCCATTTTGGCTTCTTACAGGGACTAATACAGACTTAAAACCAAGAAACAAAGTAATCATTGCTTGAAGAATTCGGCAGACAGGTTCTCAGCACCTGCTGTTTTGCAAAAAAAAGTCAGCAGCCATAACTATACCCCACCCAGCCATGAGCATCATGGCTCTGTTGAACTGTCTCACCAGCTAAGCCCACTGAATTCCCCTTCATTTCATCTGGATCCTTCCAGCAAGTTCAGCCTGTAGAAAGGATGAGGGCAAGCAGGCTGATGGGGAAACAAACAACAGAAAACTCAAAAAAAACCCAGCTACACTCCAAATTGTTGTATGGCTTGAACTGGATCTCAAGAGAACAAATTTTTATTGTGGGGAAATAAACTCCCAACATCATGGATATGAGACATGAAATGTCATCAAATCCAGTCCATTCCTCTTACAAGCAGTATTTTCATACATTTGCTGTGTTACAAGTGCTAAATTCCACATTAGCAGCAATTCCCCCATCCCACCCCATGTTGCTGATCTAAAGTAGTCCATGAACATAATAGGAGTATAAAAGAAAAGTACTTGTTCACATGCAACCTGTGTCTTTTACATTAAATAAAAGTGGGGTTTTGCAGCAAAACTCCTCCCTTCTTCCTGTCCCTGATGCATTTAAATTCCTGTGACATCCACATCCCACCTGGACACTGTTTTCTTGGACTATAAAAAACCAGCTCTTCCTTCTCTTGTCCCCACCCTTTCCCGATAGCATTGATCCTGGATTAATTAGGCATGTATCCATTGCTGATGTTTGAAAAGCACCTCCTGCCAAACTGATCACCAATTTTGGAATAATCTGACTTTCAGAGGGGCTTGGGATGCACATCTCAGCTGAGCAGAGGTGTTGGTGGAGCTGGCACACAGGAGTAACTACAGGGTGGGATGTCTCCTTCCCTTAGGTCATCACCCATCACTCCAGTAAAGGGAAGAGGAAATGATTATGTGTGTACAAAGATCCCTCAGCAGAAATACCTGGCTTCTGGACCAGCTCTTAACACCAGCCTCTCTCTTTTCACCTTCTCCTGCAAAGATTACATCCATCTCTATCAATGGCCCACTTAGGAAATCACCAGTATCCTTTACACTGGTTATTTCATATCCTTTAATATGACTTTGACATATGATTGCATTTTACTCTGGATTTTTTTTCAATCCAGAGTGACATTTTAACAAAAAATTACTTTGTGGGAGAGTGTGTGTGTGAGTGGTGGTTTTGGTTTGGTACAGAACATGTGTGCCTTCACACTTGTTTTGTATGTGTCCAATAAATCAGTTCAATAAATGCTGCTTAATTACAGCTTTGGAAGCTCAGCAATTGTGACCCAGATCGATGGAAAGCCCACCTGGGTGAGACTGCACATAATCCACTCAGGGTAGTTACAGAAGATGCCCCAGTGGGTGCTCTGTGACTCCTCCTTGTGCCACCTACAGTTGCACCCATGGATTTCCAATATGACATTTCTCTTGTAAATAACAGCACAGCCCAGCTGATAGCTGTAACAGCACCGGGAATGTGTCCCTGGAACTGATATTATGCAAACCTTGATTAGAGACAGTCTCTGCTGCAAAGTGACTGCAGATGTAGAGCTGACTTTGACCTCCTCACTGGCCCCAACAGGGGGATCGTTACTCATGGCATAATTATGAGGAAAACACTTTAATTTACTTGTATTACAGGTTTTGTCTTCTATAACTAATTTTGCTACTGTAGCTGGCACACCACAAGAGGAGACCCATTCCCCACCTTCTCACAATCTCTGCCATGCTTATTTCCCCCATTGCTACTACAGACCCTTAAGGTAAACAAACCTGTCTGGCAGGAATTTACACAATCCAGCTGTTTATAGGGGCCAGATCCACTGCACCACCCTCACTCGTTCTGGGCTCGGTTGGGTTCAATCCCTGCATGGACTACTCATCAAAGAGCTGGACTCAGTGATCCTTGGGGATCCCTTCCAACTCAGACTATTCCTTGATTCTGGGATCTGTGGCCACACCAGAAAGGATGAACCCCCTGATCCTTGAATAGCAGCAGTGCTGGAGCAACCTGCCCTGGGAGCACCATCCCTGTGTGCTGGGTGACCTAGAGAAGATGGTCCTGCTCCACAGCGTTCACACACTGTCTCAGTGGTAAAGATCAACTAGCTCTTGCTGTCACAAACCTGAAGACATTTAAACAATTTCTTCCCAGAGGCCTTGTATCAACAAAGTGTGTTTAAAATGTAACAGCCAGCTGCGTATTTGGCCTGATTTCTGTGATTAGACAGCACACCTCATCAGGAAACAGAAGTAAGAAAACAGATTTCTGGTGGCAATATGTCAACACACACAAACAGGTATTTGATCAGCCTTGACACATTCTGCCCACAGATTTATTACAAAATGCATTAATTATCACCCTTCTTGAGGAAGCTGCTACACTGAGAACATCACAGAATGTTTTTGTTACTGAGCTGGATATTACACTTCACCACTTCTTTGCTCTATTCCACACCTTATCCAAATCAAGTGAGCTGGAGATGGGGGATAACAACTTTTCAATAGGAAGAAATAAACCAGGAATGTAACCAAGCTGCAAGAGTATTTGGAGCTACACACCATTCAAATAAAAAAGAAAAGGATAAGTCATATGTTAAATGAACTAATTTCCATCTGGCCATGGGCCATTTTCAGAAGCTTTTAAGGCGGAATCACTTTGAATTCTCCTGTGAGCTTTTGGCTCTTTCATCCCTGCTACAGTTATTATTTCAGTCATTCATGGAAGCACCCCCTGCCTGTCTCATGGTTTTCTTGTTTCTTGCCACACTGAAGATTTTTTTATGATGCGTTTTGCATGCTGTATTTGACTGAACAGCATGGTGGACCATCAGGGCTTGACTGATTTTCTACATGTAAAAGGAGAAGACAGTGAGTTCCAATGAGAAGAGGTGCAAAAGCAGATTCCCCTTGTTCTGATTTCTATTTACACTACATTTGCTGCTGCTCAGCCCACTTCCATTAGCTCCTTTAATGAGAGAGCATGTAGAATGATTCTATAACACTGGTCAGACTTGCTGCCTAGTCTATAGGATCAAGCTGGTACTGTTTCGTGTGTGCACGCTGGAGTAATTAAAGAATTTATACAAGGATTCAATTAGTTTCCATTCAAAGACTGGCTCTGTTCCAGGCTCTACTAAAAGGACTTTGCAAGTCCTTTAATTGCCTCCACAGTTCCACCCTCCACTCTTTGCCTTCCTGCCAACTTAATGAACATCTTTATATTCCAGAATACCTCCCATTAAAATGGACAAGCTCAGCTCCATATATATCACTATCCCAATCTCAACTGACACTTGCAAGCAAACCAAATAATTGTTACAGCAGGAATTAAAAGACTTATTTAGTTTTCAGGAAGTTTTTTAAATCTATTTCCTTCTTCCCCTTTCTTAAAAAATGCATTTTTTTTCTTCTGAATATTAATGATTAGCAGTGGGACTAATCACCAGGTACACTTTAGGTAAAAAATCCCTGAAAACTGCTGTTTCACGCTTATGAGAAGGATAAAAATCTGCATAATTACATCTATTGCTTGTAAACACACCTCTGGATTTATTGCTGAATGATCAATAATACATGAACTGCATCAAGTTGCTTTATCTTATTTGGACTGCAGCAGACTCCTCCCAGGAGCATCCTCTTTACAGCTGAAGGC